CACTTCTGCTCTTGCTGTATGTGCAGCTTTCAATCTTCAGGTTCATTTGTTGAGGCTTGTAATTTAATGCTGAATCATTTTTTGTTTCCTTACAAGCTCTTCCATGAGAAAAGGCAGCACATCAGGACTAATAGACAAAAGTCCTGGGGAGTAATATATTTTGGATGGAACAGAAGAAATCTTCAATAAACTTCTACAAAATGCAGGATTTAGGGAATGGTGATAACATGGGAATCTCTTGCTCAATCTCCCCCAAATTTAGTCCATATACTATCTAGTGCGCTCTAGATGGAAAGCAGATTTCATATAAGTGGAAGCAGGGAAACCACAGCAGCTGGAATAATCTACTTTTAAATAAAGCAACACACTCTCACTGAAACATGCACTCTATTACAATGCACTTGGAACCACATCAAAAGGAGAACCTCATTTTCAGTTTCATACACTAAGATTAAATTATTTGTTACAGATTTCCCACGTTGCTTTATTTTTTTCTGTATCTATCACACATCTCAGGAGTGAGCACATTTGACTATGAATGTAGCACTTCCCTGAAAACTTGACTGCTGAACACTGCTACACTAATCTCTGATTCCCATGTGCAACAAACACTGAGGTATCTAGCTGTATCAGCTATACCTCTAGTTATACTATTTTATGGATGCCAGAGATTTAAATGTAGCAATTCATGCTTCTGTCTCCTTCAGGCTAAAATTCTGTTAGATGCACAACCTGGGGCCTGCCCTGTAGGTCATAAAGAAAGTAAGATTAGGAGAATGATCCAGCCAGCCATCTTCTAAGCAAACACAATTGCCAAAATCGTATCACTATTGTGTTATAAATCAGTGTTCTAGAGAGTTGCAAGGTTTAATTTACAAATTAAACAGTAAAGACCTTTCTTCTGACAAGGAAAACGAGCAATAAACAACAAAGTTGCAGCTATCACTGTTGTCCAGCCATCATTTTGACATCCAAAGACCAGGCAGAGTATGCTCTGTTATGGCTACAATACTCATACTGGATAAATCATGACAGAGGAACTTCATCACATCAAAAGGGAACTTTGGTTTGATTTCTACCACTATTTAAGCAATACAGAATGATTTTATTTATAAAGCTGCTTTCCTTCAAAATGAAGGGATCAATACAAGCCTTAAAATCGACCTTTTTAATTGACGGACCTTTGGAACAAGAACCACATTCTAATGATGATAATATCTTAATTGCAATGACAAATTCTTCTAACCACAGCAGTGCTTTAAAAAGCACAAATTTATGCCTCCAGTTACTATGACAGTTTTATGTAAAATGCTCTGATATCTGCATGTATTCATGGTGACCAAAATATCACCCAGAACTCCCAGAAACATCAGCTCTCTACAATATTTTTTTTTCTTGTCAACAATGGAAAAGTTGTTCCCAGTACTTTCTAATTATTTCCTGTATAAAAAAAAAAAAATCCAAAAAGAAGCTCAACCTATACAAAGATTGAGCAGCCACCAACAGTAGGTCCTTAACAACAAGCTTCAATTAAATCAAAGTATCAGTATTTCCAAGCAGGAATATATGTTATTCTGGTGACAAATAATGTCTATACAATCATATAACAAACTATGTGAAACAGAAGATTAGACAATGGGAAACATAAGGACACACTCAGTATAAATCTGAAGCATGAAAATAATGATTACTGTATGACTTACTGCTATCTTTATAATCCAACAGGAACAACAAAAATTCCACCATTTGCAAAAAGTAATTCTTGTAGAAGTTTCTCTCACTGCAGATCAATATGCTTTTCTAAGACAAGCTAACCAAAAGCTAGTTTGAGACAGTATGTATTGGTAACAAAGATAATCACCCAAAATCTACAGATTGTAGAGCTTCTATATCAGTTTTGTATTAAAGCCATAGTTGTGAAAGAATGATGGATCTGTCACAAAAACACTGACGAACAATAAAAAGAACATACTGCAGAGTCTCTACACAACAAATTTTGCTGCCCTTATTCATTAAATACCAATTAAACAGCCAATGCTGTTGTGCCACATGAGCAGATGTCTTTCCCACGTAGCAAAGGCAGCCTCCCAATCCTCCCTCTAACCATGCAACTCTGCATCCATCACACTAGCACATACTTGCAATAAATATTGCAGAAGGCTGGTCTGCTTTAACACTTTGCACATCATTAGGGTTACCCACATACACAGTTTAGTTACCCTGCAATACACCAACCAGATTTTTGCATATAGACTTACTCACAATGGATGCCTTTATTTTAAGGTAACTCAGATGATCAGTATTGTTACTGACTGCTTTTTTTCTCCCCTCCAATAGAATTAATTCTAACATAACAGCAGGAAAACTATACTACTGTGACTGTGCACATGTTCTTTTTATTCTGTCCTCTTGCCTGTTTTCAGAGTTTTTCAAACACAGAAGTAACTAGCAGAACTCTTTGGTAACACTGATTACACAACTTCCCCACTTGCAATGTATGAACCCATTAACTTGCATTTGATTAAAACACTCTTTAAAAAGGCATCTAATCCTAATTGGAAAGGATGAAGATAAGGAATTCAGCTTCTTCCCGGCAGTTTGTGCCAACAGCTAACTACCCTCATTGCTGAGAAGAGCATGTCCTAGATCTTACAGATTTGGCTTGTTACTTTGATGGTAATTTTTTTTTTCTTAATGAAGTGAAGAAAATTGATCTAACCACTGCAAGGTATTTTCTCCATCTGTCACTGATATCTACTATATCTCTTCTGCAGTTGTTAGTATTTCAAGACCCTTTCAAAAACCAGAACTGAATATCATATTTAGATATCAAACTCACAAACAACATTCCCCACTCCTCTTTATTTTCTACTGACAGAAGTAATAGTACTGATTCTATCTATCTATCTATCTATCTATCTGCTTCTCAGTGCACTAGACATCCATCTAATAAGTTCTTATCAGAATTAGTTTTCTAGGAATTTAGGTTTTAGAGGTGCGGCTTGCAATGTTGTCCCTAGTATGAGAACCACCTAACCATCCCAAAACAGCCTTGAAAAAACCCAAACTATAAAGCAATACAGATAATGTCCTTTCTAAAAAACACTTTATTTAACTTTTAAAAAGTTCAAAAGTTAAAAAGTATTTAACTTTTCTGACCAGGTTTCTCAGAATTTAATTTTTTTTTTTTTAAAAAAAAGTAGTTTTCGTACTGGCCTGTAATATTTTAATACTGATGCCTTAGGGACATAAGACAAAAGGTTATCTCTTCCTACAGACCTTCATCTTCCTCCAATCTGGCCTTTCTGCTTCCCTCTGTGGCATCAACTTCCCTTCAAAAACTATTTTTTCTTCCAATTTACTCTGTCTTCATAGGTCACTAAGGTGAAGATTAGGAATGGGAAAGCCTGAGAGGCAAAAAGAAATCCTGCCCTAAAAACAGGCTGAGCCTTTCTAGTGAGTTACACTGAGCAGTAAGGTAATGATACACAGGAAATAGTGTTAAGACAGTCCAAATTCACAGTTAATAATGCAAAAGGAATATAACTGATTCTTGGGAACTGGATAAGAAAATGACTAAAGACAGAAAAAATGGTCAATTTAAACAGCTCCATCTAACATCTGATATAATACAACGATTCTGATAGGATGCTCACAAATAACTTGCAGATTGACAAGACAGGAGTGTTAGCAAGGTGGTTTGTGCCTTTGAGGCTCTTTCACACCAGCTAAGACATTGTATCAGAAATTGGCTTAGTATTGCTTGCTCAAAGCACTAAAGTCAAACCTGAATTAAGCATTTCATTGAGCTGGGCCACACAGTTAAATTCAGAAACAATACTTGAACAGTGACACAAATATAAACAAGGGAAGATGAGTATTACTTTAGTGTAACTAAGCAGCATATAAACAAAAATTATCCAAGTTGCATTTAATTCTACCGTATCCACAATCTTACCCTAAATAGTGGAAGAATTAATTTGAAAGCTAGAGAATCTGTGATCCTTCCTGATACAAACTCTGTTATTCATATGAAAGAAGTTAATTTTTATATATAACATCTCACTATATGTATTAAGTATTATTTTTTAATCGGCATTTGCGTAAAGTATTGGTACATGTCAACATCCTCCTGGGACAGTATCTTTATGTTTCTTTATGTGTTTATGCAATGAAGAATGGAAAATAAAAGCTGTTTCAGATATGATCCATGCACCACTAAATGAGATTAAATATTGCTGAATAGATATTAAGTAGTAAATACTGCACCAACATAACTTTTTATGCTTAGAAATTATCTGAATATGCAACCTTTCAAGAGTATTTTCCCCTTCTATCTACCAACAGTCAAATACGTAAGTCTCTTCACAGCCTGCCATATATAGCATGTATGCTGTATATATGTAGTATAAAGCAGTCCCAAGATAGTGTCACTTCCGTAAGAAATCCAAGGTTTTTAAACATTTTCTAAATATTTACATCAGGCAGCCGAGAATGTGAATCAGCCTGTTTATACACTGACTTAAAATTTCTAAAGATTTGTCAAACACTTGTGTCAAAAATGTGTCATTTGTGTCAAAAATTACTTTGCAAATGTTTTGTAGCTCAAACCCCAAAGTCTAAACAGCATGCTTTTGGTTACAGTGCTGCAAGGAGCAGTTGTACTGCTGGGCAAAAATTTCACTTCTAAAAGGACTCTAGTGTTTGTTACTGGCAAAGCAATACCTGAAAAAAAATGCAGTGAGGGAGTCTTGCTTGAACTTTAATTTCTTGGGTCATGGGGAAAAGTGCTTTAGAAATTAGAGAAACACAACTTACAAATGACACAGTTTCCCACTTAAATGACTTCAGCTGAACTTCCTGTTCCTTCTTACTGAATGAACCTCCAGAAAATTATTTCTCTTAGATCTTGACAACATGGTAAAAATAACCAAACGCCCAGCATTTCCCAGCGACAGGTAAAATCCTCCTCTCCAGGTACAAGAGATAGCTTCACGTACCATTGACACATTCAAAGACATCACAGCACTTGCCGGGTGTTCCATCTCCACGCGAGACTATCTGGGGAATGGAGCCTGCCTCGCACATGGGGAAACCACAGAGACCAGAGAGACACTCGCATCTGAAACCAAAGAACAGTGGGGAAAACCCCATGAATAAATGAAGCCATGTATGAGGGGAAAGAATAAGCAAGAGGAAAATGGAAAGCTACAGCACAAGTTCTAGTATTAGCCTGTTCATATCTTAGAATCATCTTTTATTAACCCAACAACCAAGACAGCTTATCATCCTGAAGGGGTTTTTTAACCATTCAAACTCTGTTTGCTGGTGAAGTCAGCAAGAGGATGCTCCTGTGCAACACAAACACTTCTCTAGAGGTGTATGTGAAAACATAGAAAAATGTAGTTCCAGTTCATTTGAAAATAATTGTATTCTACAGACTTGCAAAATTAGGATTCTCCCCCAATTCTCTGTGAAAATATTAAACTGAAGAAACACTAATAGCAGTAACTGTGCCCATTCATCATAAGAGTGTTCTCTCAGGAAAATCTATTATACCCAGTTTTATACAAGGAATAATTAAAGAGAAAGGAAAACCATGCAGAATCATTAAATCTAAGCCAAATTTAAATACTTGCAACTCTCTTTTAATTTTTGATAGTACTGCCCTCAGTTTGTGGAGGGGCAACCAATTACATGAGATGTCAAATAATGTGGGAGGCTAGGTATCTTAAATACTGTGACTAGATTTAGAAAATGGATCATTCAAAAACTAATATTTTCTCAATGTAAATTGTATTTATTTGCTTATTTAAGAAAACAGGCTAAAGATCTAGAATACATAAAATGTAGCAAGTCACATTTGTTTCCACATTCTTTGCTTTACCTTTAACATACTAGCTTTAAAGTCAAACACTTAAGACTTTTGATATTTACATTTAACAGAGTTCTTGTCCCAGACAATAGGAACATTATAGGGATATGCAGCAATGATTCAATGTAATGCAGGAAAAAAATTAACAAAGAGAAATAAGCTAATATCATAGCTGAGAAACTTCATGGAATAGCACTTAAATTTTTCAATCATAAATCATCAATTTTTTTTTTGTAAAAAACCTTATAGATTAATTTAGCATATTGCAAATACACATGAATTTAAAAAGGAAAACTCAGAAGATCCTGTAATTATGAGTTAAAGAGATGAAAATAAGAACTCTACCTGTTAATAACTATTACATACTTTATGCATTCCAAGACAGCTCCCTTGTTAAACCATCCATTACTAAGAAGCATCATCAGCACTTAATGCATTTGCTTATTCTTTACACTTAGAAAAAAGTTTGGTTCTCCTCTATCATGCATAATCATCTTAATTGCCCAACAGCTATTTCATCTCAGGCCAGTGTTCAATGAATGAGGAAGAGCCACTTCTCAACAGACAAGGTTTTAACCTCTCTCACTTTAACCTCATCAGTTTCAGATAACATTGCTGTGTTCTCCATCATAAGGTAAGGAAGTTTGCAAGAAGAAATACAAGTCAAGGAATCTCACAGAACCTGCATTATACTGACTGAAAAGGTTTCTCAAAATATTGCATTATAGCAGCATGTTCCTATAACAGGATAAATGAGTCCTTCAAAACCAGTATTAAGTATGTAACATTTCACAAATAATGTTAAATATGTCAAAATAAAGTAACTTAACTGTATGTGCACATATATACTATAGTGACAGTGCTAAAAGAGGCATTTAAAGTATTTTCTTTATATATATATCACTTACCATAGCAGCAAAGGGTAACAGACAAAAAACACAAAAAAGTGAGAGTACATAAACCAAAGTTTTGTTCAGCATACCTTTGCTTTTGATATTTCTTCTCAACTTATTTGTAAATACAAAAAAAAGAGGGAATTAATTATTTTCTTTACTATATGCCCTTTGCCTTCAGAAATGTAAAAGGAATAAAACTATTATGACTTCTACTACGTGATCAAAAAACGTAAAGGATTTGTGACAATAGATTCCCCTTAAGAGGACTTTGTAAGTAATTTTACAGGATTCTGTACTAATATCTCACCTTTTGCTACACCAATAAAAGGAAGATACTTATTGGGGTGGGAAGAAAAAAGGGGAAAAAAAAGACAAACTCAAGCAATCAATACAAAAGAATCTTTCAAAACATATATAACAAAAAAACACAGACACACTCTGAAAGCAATAGTAAAAGCCTAGATAAAAATACTAGGTTTCACTTCAACCACCCAGATAACCTCTGGGAAAATGGGTAGATCAAACTTCCTGAAAATTCATGTCTTTCACAGAGAAAATGGCACATGTGATGGAAATACAACCGTGGCACTTGATTTTCCAAGTCTCATGAGCTGAAATTACCACTCTTAGTTTTACTGCCTTCACAAATAAACTTTTTCAGACCTGCCCTTAGCTTCTGTATTCTTTACCTCACATTCATTATCATTGATGATTTGAGTTGCAGGAGAATATTAGAGGATTATATTAATAATTTGTACTTTTTCCTTTCTCATTTTCCTCCCAATCAACCGCTTTAAAAAAGGAACAAAACACAAAACCAAGTAAAAAAACCCAATGAATCAAATTAAATAACTTCAGATAGGATAATCTTCCAGAAGAGCTGAAAAAGATCATGTTTAAAAGATGTTTAAAAGACATTTAAGAGACTGATGGCAGTCAATGTTCTTTTCTGCAGAAAAGACTCCCTCCCATTCAGAGTAATCAAAGCTTTGCATACTCGTTTGCAGTGTAAGCAAGCAAAACCCCACCGTCCAAGATTTTAGAAATTGACTTCCCATTTGGTTAAAAAATAATCCATGCACAGGAGAATGTCAAAGCAGCAAATAGTCTCAGATGGACTTTTAAATAGTCTGCATTCTTTTCAGCCAGCTCCACTAGGAAAACCTTTGACCATCATCCAGGCTATTAGCATAGAAAATACTGTTTTGGAGACAGAAGTCTTTCAGGAAGAAACCCAAGGAATTTTGGTAACCAGGCATGGTTGTCACACTGCCAAAACAACAACATCTGGAAATTTGGAATAAGTAATCTCTTTCTTAGTAAAACAGCAAAATGAGCTTCATAGTGCTACATTTTTCTGAAACACCTTTAGGAGCAGAAGGACAAAAGACAAGTAGTAGTCCAGCTCTGTGTTCTATTACAGGCAGATAGCTACCTGCAGGGTGTGTGTATTTTGCTTAGCCTTGGTATTGATCATTAGGATTGAAGAAGTTTAGCAGGCCTCATGATAAGCCTGTGATAAGCCTGTCGATAGAGGCCATGGTTCCTCTCAAAGTAATTGATATAAAATTCAGGCTGCTGATCAGTGAGGTGCAATGTTGTTTCTGAGCAGCTGTAACTTGTCTAAGGAAAACAAACGCAGCAGAAGTTACTAAAAAGACAAGTCCCCAGAAAGCAGACAACTCTATCGTTTACCTGCTGTCTTCACACAGCCTTCAGTGACACCACTGCAACATCAAATAGCATGGTGGCATCCAGAAGTTCCAGGATTAAAAGGAGGTCAGTACCTGAGAGAAGTTGGCACTCAGTATCTAGCCCTCCCACCCTTTATTAGCAAAGGCTCTAAGGAAACACATCTCTTGGGATGTTTTACTATTACAGCACTCAAATCAAGGCACAAAAAGCATGTCCTTTTAACACTGAGAGTACAATGTCCCCTAACAAAATGGCTCAGAAAGAAAAAAAAAACCAAAACAAAACTATCAGTCATGCAAGAGACTTTGTGGAGTGCAGTCTGAAAAGGTGGTGGGATGGTGTGGCATTAAAAAAGTCAGCTGTATGGAAGTTTTGAAAATACAGAATCAATCTGATTAGTTAAAGGAATTGTCTCCAGTTCTTCAGGATAAAAAAGAAAAAAAAAAAAACAAACCCCAAACCAACCCAACTAACCAATTATATTCCTAGAAATGTCAACAACTAAGCAAGGAAAACTTCAGTATATAAAGAACCAGAAAGAAAATAATGTTCATTAACCAATGCTTTACAGACTGAGGAAGGTAACTGCTTGAGTAATATAAATGATGTTTGAGGGCAGGGTTGGTTTGTTTTTTCTTCTATATCATATTTTCCTTTTTTCTTTATGTCACCATAAGTGCAAAAATGAAAGGGAAGAAGAAAAAATAATCAAATGGAATACTTGTAAATGATATTTTTTATTTAAAACCTCATTATCTTGGTTCATTTTCTTCCGTTATTAAACAGATGAAAAGACTGAAGTGTTTGGCTAGCCTCGGAAAAGCTGTTTTGATGGTAGATCAAAAGAGTTTTCCAGGCACAAGGCATAATGGCTATGAAAATAAAAATGTCCATCCTGGAAAAAAGGTTTAGTATCAGTGAATAAGAAGGTTGTGGAGGGGTGTGCTGAGGAGAGGTATATTTATTCTGAGGATCAAAACAAAATTAAGTCTAAAGCACTGAGAGTAGAGAGGAGCATTCCTGAAACATATATCACATTCCTGTAGAGATTTTATCACGGCCCTTCTTTTTTCCCTTGTAGGAAAAATTAAATTAATAATGTTAATTTGCATTAACATTATTAGCACTTATGTTACCTAAATGTAGTAGACAAAACTCCCACAGATCTGTTAATAATATGTACACTTAAGGATAGCATAAAATAAGGAATTTTCAGAAGAGAACTCCCAGCATTATCAAAGCTTGATGAACTACTGGCAAGGAAAAGAGATTAAATGCAAGAACCTCCTTATCAACAAGCATAGGGTATAAGAGATGACAATATATCAAAATGAAATATTAACATAGCAATCTCATGAAATCAACAAAGGATTATGTCCATGTTACTCACACTTGAAGCCATGATGTGAATTAAGTAGGTAACATAATGAATTTTAAACTGGTCAAGCTCCAGCTTAAAGAATCAACCAAATGCTAGTCTTAGAAAAGATAAACTCCAGTCCTACACAGGAAGTGAAACTGGAGGCAACAACTAAGCCATTGGGACTCCTCTGTCCAAAAAGTTCTAGAATTTTCCTAAATCTTCAGACATACAGACTGGAGAGTTTTTGTCCACAAGTTCAGGGTCACTGTTCAATGCATTTTGCATTTGCTATG